ATATATTTTTTATGTATATGTTTTTTAGTATAGAATCAAGCTTAAATATATTAACTTTTTATTTATAAATATATAATTTAAAATTTTTTAAAAAAAACATTATGAAAAATTTGAATAAGTTCTTATTCTTATTCTGTTATTTTATCTGAAAAATATTCTAATTTTTATATAAATTTGTACACTCTAAATGAGTATGAAATATATATTAAATTTTGATACCTTAGAGAGTTTAAACTTTATTGTTTCCTATATAACTAGATATATAAACACGATCATGTACTAAGTACTGCGATTAATAAAAAAAGACTTAATTAATAATATAGGCTCTATATTTTTATATATTATTATGAATATCGAGTATACTTTTTTATTTATTCATATGTTCATAACATTATTGTTATTTTCATGCTATGTTAATATTTATAAAATCTTCCTTCAAAAAAGACCATGTGTTCAAATATAAATGAAAATACATCTGAGAAACACATGTATGAAATGAATTACAACACGTAAGTTTATTATATTATTTGTGAACGAATTATATTCAAATTTATTTTTAAATTATATTGTACAATATTTTTTTTACATGTCTTCATAAATATATATAAATTTTATACTTTTTTACATATATTATATTATAATAATTACAAATAAATATAACGAATACATAATTTTTGTCTAATGTATTCATAATTCTAAATACCATAAACTATTTAACACAATATAAATACACAAATTTTTTTGTGTCCTTGCATTATATATCCTGTATCGATTAGTAATATTGTTTATATTTATTTATATGATTAAATTACTAATTCATAATTCACAACGTTTCGTGTATCTTATATATGAAAAAAAAAAAAAAAAATGAGATGTAATAAAACAAATAATTGAACTAAGTCTGAGAATAATATAACACATAAAAACATATGGCATAATTTGTTCACTTATACTAATAATTTCATGCACAATTATATGAATAAGTATAATTATTATTATAGATATATATATATATTTTTACAGTGAATTCGTATTAAAGAATCACAAAAAACTTTTATTTATACATTAATTATAAATATAATTTTTATTGTTATTATATAATAAAATAACCTTATGATATACACATATTTTACGTATTTATATGCAATGATAACAACAATTTATATTTTATATTTGCATATCAACCTTAATCTACATAGTATATTATATTTTATATAAAATATATAATTTTGTAACACAGAAACAAAGTATTCATGCATCATATTTCGGTAAATATATCACTAAATTAAAGTATTTTATTTTTACGCACTTTTTAAAATATTGTAGAACAGTTTCATGTAGTGTCAATAGAATTTTATCTATGCTACCTAACATAAATGAAAAATTTATATAAATTATTATTTTATTATATGGAATATGTAATATTTTTTATAATGTTGTTAAATGAAAAATTCTCTATGTTACTTAATCCTTCTTATGCTTCCTTTAAAAAAAAATATATTCACAGTATTATATATTTAAAGGTAAAATTAGGGAGAAATGTATAATATATTATTTCCAATGTCTCTTGATATAGTGCTGTATATTTCAGATCCCTGATAGGCATTCCATTCTTTATCTGTATTATTACACCGAATTATTTTTCTTTTTATTATATTGCGCCACCATGAACCGAATATAGTAAACTAATTCCAAAAAGAAGGAATATTTGTATTACATATATGTATTTTGGAATAAGTGTTTTTGTATGTTAACAAAAGATTTACAGAATAATATAAATATTTATATATAATAACATAATTTACTTTATACAATATAATTAGAGAAAGGAATACCATGATTGTTACAAAAAATGTAATTATTATTGTAACTCCGCTATTATTTTTACAGAATTCTTCTTTCAAAATTCCTGTAATTTCACTAGACTTACTTTCTAATTTTTTATTATATCGTTCCACGATTTTTACTGCTTCTTTGAAAGCATCATCTTTTTTTTCTGGCTTAGTGTTTTCATATATTGAGTTATATATATCATACACTTCTATGACTTTATTAAAATCATCACTTTTAAATGTATGCTCAAACAGATCACATAATTTATATATTCGAAAGGGGGAATTTTCATATATAGAAAAAAATATATCATATAGCATTTGTATATAGTTAATTTTTTCTTCGTCCCTTTTAATAAGGACATCATAAATCCAATAGTAAAAGTATTCACAACCGGCATCCGTTAAAAATTGATTTCTATCATTATTAATTTCAGACAAATATTCCATAGCTTGGATACATTTATTTTCCAATATAATATCATCAGTATATAATTCCTTTAAATAACTATTATAACCAGATTTTTTACATTCATTCCTCCAAGTACCTCCCAATCTAGGATCTTTTATTTCTTTTTCTTCTATCTTTTTTTTGCATAACGGAAATTTTTTAACAGTGTCATACAGAAAAGAAGAAAATAATACGAAAAAAAAGTTAAGTGAAATCTATTAAAGAATGTTTTATAATGATTATATATAATTAAATATAAGAATATTATAAGACTGCAATTATCATTTCATTAAAAGGAACATACAATATATTTCTCCATTCAATATAATATTACAAAGGGATACAGGTTTAGGGTTCATAATATATGGTATAATGTATTAGTGCTTAGTTTTTACTTATTTTTATATTATAGGTTTGTTTACATTAATATTTATTGTTTTTCTATTTATATTTATTTATGTATATAGAATATTTTTTTTGTTATATTTTGAGTGTTATACTTTTTTATTAAGAATTTCACAATTCATTTCATTTTTATATGTATATATTTCATTGTTTTATTCTTTTTCTAATTCTTGAATTTATTTATTTTTTTTTTATTTCTGAATTTTTCAATTTATTAAGAATGATGATTTATATATTTTTTAATATTGAATAATTTTTTCAAAATTAATGTATTGTGTAAATATATGCCTATCTATTTAATAATAATAGGTGTCATTGTAATATAAGTTAATATGTGTATTAGGGTTTAGGGTTTCAGGGTTTAGTATTTTTTATTTTGTGTTTATATTTATAGTTCAGCGTTTCTATTTCGTTTTTAGATTTTTGTGTTAATGTTTATATTTTAGTTTTAGCGTTTAGTGCTTATACTTTTATTTTTATGGCTTGTTTTTCATTATTGTTATTTTTTCATTTTTAAAATTATTTTTTATATATTATAATGTACTTATATATTAATATTTTTGGCTTTTTTCGTTTTAAATATGATGTTCATGATATTTTAAGCACACATGCAAACAACTAATCACTATTATATCATTATAAAATTATTTAATATATATATCATATATATATAGAATTAAAATCACAATTATTTTTGTATATATATAAATTTTTTTTTTTTTTTTATTAAATCGTTATTAAAACAATTATATTATTTTTCCACATTTTAATTTTTTAATTTTTTGTTTATCCATTTTTAATATTATATTATTTAATGTGACTTATTTGCTATATGTCTTTATATATATATGTATGTATTTAAAATTCAAAATTATATTTCTTATCATTAAAAACATCTATGATTTGTTCCTTATTGTTCTCAATAATACCATTAATACCCTCAAATACTGTATCCAAAAAATCATTCCCTATCATTTCCATAT